CCCCAAAACCCCAAAACCCCAAAACCCCATACAGTATAAATATAGGAATCTAAGGCAGTAATGAATTACAAAAATATAACTTATCTTAAAATAATAATAAAAATTTCGTTATGAAAAAATAGAGTAAAACACAATAAAGTAAAATTAATTAAGTGTTCTCTTCTTTCTATAATTCTTTACTAATAGGAGTTTCCTTTATGGTGGAGCAGTTTAGGAATATTGATATGTATGGACAACCCTTCTGATTTACCTTTAAGGGTCAAAAGTAAACTGTTTAATAGTCTAAATTTATAGGACGTTTAAAACGAAAGTGGGTGCATTAGCTACAGCTATAATCGTCATATCCTTGATAAGTTATCTTGGATATAAACTTAACATTCTATTTAGTAAGATTGTTAGCCTCCTTTTAAGCATTATTTAGACAAAAATGATAATAAGACAGCAAGATATGTAATGAATGAGGCATAGAAAGATAATCCAGATATGATTGACATTTAGTAAAAATATTTCAGTTAACATTAGCAGTAAGCTTGGGTTTGATGTGGCTTTTGGAGGTTACAATGATATTGATCCTAAATATGGATCTGTATAGGCATCTCATTTCACAAAAACAAGAAAATGGAATGATATAACTGGGAAATCTGGTATAAATATTTAGCTTTATTGATTTAGATGAATTGATGGTAACAGAACAGCTTGACTTAGTTAGATGCAAAAATCAATACTTTAACTATCCTGGAAAGAATGAATCTGCATATGCTGATGTCTACAATTTACTATGTATTAAGGACAAGTCTAAGATGACCCTTGGAGGAGCTTGGACAACTAATAGACTTGAGGAGTTGGATATTTGCTTGGCACCTTGCCAAAACTAAACAGGTAGCAACGTCACATGCGCACCTTAAAAAGATATCGAATCATATTTTAGTACTGTAAGTGTTAATTCTTAATAATAGCTGTTAAGGTTGATTTCTAAGTCAGATATGTAAATCAATATTTTGACTTTTAAGATATCAATGATCCAGTTAAGAGCTACATTGAGGATAGATATTTCGTTCCTGTTTAAACTACTTAATAGAAGGGAATGGAAATGTTTGTCAAAAAGGGATTTTCGTAGCTTAGTGACAATTATTTCCCATTCTAATTAACAGAAAATGTGCCATTTGTTTCAGTAGATAACTTTATTCATTATACATCTAGAGTAGACTATTACGGCGCTTGTTATGTAAAGTTAGTTTTAAGAATAGATCTTGAGTATGAATTATACACTAGAAAAGTTTATACTTTCGCAGATCTTTTAACTGAACTAGGAGGAATTTATAGTTCTCTCTTTGCATTAGGAAGTATATTTGTTGGAGTTCTGAGTGAGAATATATTCTATACCTAAATTATCAAGGATGTTTATCAAACTAAAGTTCCCAGTGAGAAAAAAACAAAAGAAGGTGAGGGAGGGCAATAGACATAAGCAAATAAAAACAATACAGCCAAAATCCAGGTTGAAGAGCAAACTAATATTTTACAAAGTGAATTAACAATTACTGCAATGAACAAAACATTTAATGATTGAGATGATTTTGAAGCTGGTCATAAACCATTTTCAAAGTCAAGTTCTTAGATTAAAATCGATCGGCAAAAATCTTTCTTGGATAGGATATTATTTGAGATATAGAACAGAGTTAACTTTAAATTTACTTTTAAAGATGTATTGAGGGCAACTTTCGGCTTCATTCGATCAAAAGATCTTAGCAGCAAAAAGCATGAAGAACTGTATAGGAAATAGTACTTGTTTAGAAAAGGAGTAAAAAAGATAAATCATGAATTTGATGCCATATCTTTGCTTAAACTCATGAAGCAAGTCAAATTATTGACCTAAGTAATTCTAGGTCCCACTTAGAAGTTGCTACTTGGGTTCGCCAAAAAGAACGTATTAGACTCCGAGAGCAGTGGCCAGGAAACAGAAGATGATGACGTTAGAATAATTAAAAGGATGAGAAGTAAGAATCCCTTTGTTAAACTGCTAACCCTTGGAAAAATTAAAGGAAAAATTACTGAGTACTTAAAAGATGTTGAATTAGGAGGATTCCAAGATTTAGATGATAGAATTATAGAGGGGATTATGAATAAAAGACATCTTGAGAAGAAAAAAGTTGATCATACCAAAAATAACAGCGATATGATTAACAATGCTCCAATTATTATGAAAAAGATGAAAGGAACTAATGATCCGTCTCCCAACTAGAGTGTTCATCATAGTGTTAACTTAAAAAAGCCTTAGAGTTAAAAGTTCTTAAAAAAAGATAGCAAATCAGGATTTGTAAGTTTCGCATAAGATGATACCAAAATGCATATAAATGACTATGAAAATTATATGTAAGATGATGATGGAGAAAGATTCAATGATTAATCTTCATCACTCTATTAGCCAGGATAAATTTATGCGCTTTAATCCTCCTTGAATTCCAAGTTACAAAGCTATCGATCAATTGAACAAATAAATTCATAAAGAATAGCTGCTGCTAAAAGGAGCATATATCTAGGGGATGAAACATATAATGTATCTAATTTTGTTCCTGATCATAATAGCAGTGTCTCAAAACACTAAAATACACCAGCACTTGAATATGCAAATGATGAGGAAGAAGAATGATACTACTAATATAGCAATTGAATTACATATTTATTTCTAAGTTAAATTATCTAAATTAATTTTATAATTATTGATTGACGGGGTTTTGGGGTTTTGGGGTTTT